CAGGTTCTTGTTCTTTCCTTCTGGGCCCACTTTGGGGTCAAGGTGCTCAACCTCCATGCCTGTGAAGAACGGGTATTATAGGCAGATCTGGCTGGGAGCAGGTATTCTGATAGGTACTGAGGTCCTTAACCGTTTAAGGCTTTGAATGCTATCATCATAACCTTGAAGTCAATGCAGAAACGAACTGGTAGCCAATGAAAGGTGGCCAGAATGGGGGAGATGTGCTGATGAATTGGGTTGCTCATGCCTTGAAGTCATCTGTGTTCCAAACTGTCATGGAACATTGCCTCCTTTTCACTATTCCCCACCCACTTGGTGGGAAATACAACAGAATCCCTGTCTCTCCGGGGAATCAGTTCCAACCCCGCCCCCAATGGATGTTGAAAAATGGAGATTATAGCAAACACCATCCATAACATGGTCTCTGGCTCTCTCTAGAGGCCAATTCTGGTAACTTCATCATTAAAAATATATACTATATTTCCAGGATTTTTTTCTTTTAATATTTTAAATATTTTCAGACCGTGGATAAGTGAATCAGCAGAAACTGATCCCATGGATATATGGGTTCTACAGTACATATCCATTTTAAAAGTACTATTCTTGTGTGATTAAGGGACAGAGGCCTCAGCTATCTTCCCAGGTACTTTTAGAAGCAGAAGGGTGAGGTGGGATGCGAAACTCATGGGATGATCTTAGACCTGTCCTTTCTTGGGCCAGCCTACCTCATAGGGTTGTTGCAAGGCTAAAGTACAAGGAGTCGAGGACAAGGCAAACCATGTGTGCCACGGCCTTTAGCTCATTGGAGGAAAAGCAAGTTAAATGAAGCTGGTTAATATTTCTGAAGGAGACATTTTATTTTTGAAATGGGTCCTTCTTAAACTGTTGAATTCATTGAAATAAAAGGGAGCTGTGTGAGCATTACAAAATACAAATGCAAGAGTAGGCAGTACCTTTGTAGACCACAAAACTGGTCTATAAACATATACTGTAATTGTGTTTTTTTTTAGTGGTCTATAAAGGTATCGCCTCCTCCTTCATTTGTATGTTGGATTCATGTTAACATTTTAGCAAGACGAGACATGAAATCTGATGTATTAAATATATTTTATTAAATAATTGCAGGTATTAAGAGCTACAGTATGTGTATCTGTGCACTTATATATGTAAACTCTTATTTGTCTCCCCTCCCCCCAGGCTGTTCTAAAATTAAAGCGCCTCCAAAAATAATAGATACAGGGGGAGGATTCTTTCTTGAAGAAGAGGAGGAAGAAGAACGCACGGCTGAGAAAATTGTGCACCCCCCTGGTAAATGGTGGTCTTTTCTTAAGAAAACACGACTAATTACTTTCATTTAGTATACGGGTACAGAGTAAAAATGGTCTTTTAAAATAATACCCCCTCTAGTAGTGTAGAGAAATTATTGTGTAGCACTCTGTAATTTCAGTAGACACGATAGCCCTAACTTCCAAAGCTGGGTGTGTATGTTTAGGGTGTTGGTGGGGGGAGAGATTTAAAGATCCTACCTTAAAGCTGTGTTTGGCTCACCTTTTATGAGGGAGGTGTGCCTGTGAAGTCCAGAAAGCTGTGTGGTGCTCTTTGAGCTGACAGGTCTAGCCATCTGTGGAAATGATGCATGCGTGCGTTTATGTGCATGGACACCCACAGGCACAATTTCTAGGTGCCAGGTTTGGGCATGAGCAAAGCTGCCTCAGAAAAGCCATTTGTCATGCAGATCCCTGCTGGCACACATTGAACCTTTTTTTGCTAAGTTGAGATGCCTGCCTTCTTCCCTGGAGGATGACCTTCCTCAGCTCAGTATCCTTATTCAAGGGCCAATGAAAAACCTTTCCCATTTGAAATGCATGAGATTGATAGGTGCAAGATGGGTGTTAGGGCAGGAATTTTTTTTTTTAAATCACCTACTTCATTGTGCAGTTAATAGCCCTCCTTATCACCCAGAGGTTAAAGATGCTGTCTCAAGAGTGATGGATTCAGGCATCTGGAAGTAGCAGAAGCAGTAGGGAGAAGCTAAGTCACTTGAGAGAAGGTAGTCCACCAAGAGGCAGGAAGAAATTAAACAAATTACAGGAGAAAAGCAAGACTTGTGCGTTACTTTCCTATGAAAACATTTCAAAGTGACTAGCGCTGGCTGGGGAAGTGTGGCGGTAAGGGGCTAAGGCTGGTGGCCTTTGTGGGTTTTGCTTCTTTTTCCTTCTCTCATTCTGCAGTTTTCACCATTTTTGAGGAAGGAGCCTTCCTGTATTTTACCACTATTTGTATATTCTTCCTAAATGCTTTTTTGAAGAAAAAAAATCCACTTTTAACAGTGTTTCTTTTGTTTGTCTTCTGATTTGCCCCAGGGTTGATAGAATCCTTCCCTGTCCCTGGTTTTCCTCACACTGCATTTTCACTTTCTGATTCTGTTGCCTGAAACCATCTGGCTAAATCTAACTGTTACTCCAACCGAAGGAGAGTCAGTGGGGTTTGTTAGAAGTCCCATTAAACGAAGTGGGCTGTGCTCTAGCTGGGATTTATCACCCTGGGTGACTGCATTTGAAAGCAGAGGGATGCGAGCAAACTCAGTTTTGACATCACAATCGCTTCCTTAGTAGCTTTGCTGTTATAACCCTGACCAAGTTGTATTAGGTTTCATCAGGAGATGGATAGAGACTTGAGTTGAGTATTTGAGTACGAGGACCCAGGAAAAGCAGAGGCAGGATCCAGAGGTCATTTTTTTCAGGGTATGCTTTGCTGGAATAAATGGAACCTGTTCAGGCATACTTTTTTGTAGTAGCTATTCACAGATGTTGGTAGACTGCAGTTCCCAACAGCTAAGCAAGGATGAGGGATCCTGGGAGCTGCAGGTCACCACCTGGAAGGCTACACATCTTTAACTGGAGCAGGACTGGAGTCAACAGGATAGCATCCTGTCGTTTGAGACCTAGTAGTTCAGTAGGTATTAATTTAAAAGTGAAAGCAGGGCGAATGTCTTTTTGCTGGGTTAAGTTGGGAGTGAAATTAGCAGAGCGTACCCACAATTGTCTCCAAAAATTGTGGATGAGAAAATGATGCAAATTGAACATTCTTGAACATTTTATAAAGCCAAGAATGCCATCTGTCTTGTTTGCATCTCTGTCTCAGTTCATTGTTGACACTTTGTCATTTTGAATAGACCCAGCAGCTTAAATTGTTTCCTTGTGTTTTCACCTTATGTCTTCACAGGGCCTGTATTAGAATTTGATTACCTTATTTGTGAAGAATGTGGTAAAGAGTTCATGGACTCCTACCTCATGACCCATTTTGATCTAGCAACCTGTGATAACTGCAGGTACTGTGTATAAACAAGAAAACACGTTCCCTCTTGGGCTGCTTTTAGGAAGCATATAAAGATACAGGTCTTTAATTCAGCCTTTTAAACTGTTTTCCTATTTCTTGGCTGTTTCATGATTCATATTGTTTTCATGGCGTTTGCTCACCATCCTGAGCACCTTACGTGGAATTCACTGTGCTATTAGCAGCACAGTCTTATGCATGCTTGTTCCGAAAGTTGTCTGATCATGCCTACTGTTGCTTATGCGCTAGCAAGTGTGTTTAGGGTTGGAGTCCAGTTTGCTGGCCTCTGGCTGGATTGTGTCCAGTTATGTTTCTCCTTCAATGTGCTACCTGAAATGCAACAGTATGGAATTTTCTAACATAAATAATTCCAGTGTTCAAATAGTTTAGATTAGGAATCCTTCAGTCTCGAGAGACTATCGTCGCGTGCTCTAAACAGAGGACTTGGAACAGCATCTAGTGTGGTTGAGGAGGCCAATTCGAGTGTGGCAATCCCTTCCACACTGAGGACAAATACAATCTGTCACCTGTCCAGCTCCCTGATTTTGCTGGTTTTGGGACTTCCTCTTTGCCTTGGCCTGCTGGACAAGGGTCTCTTCAAAATGGGAGAGGCCATGATGCACCGCCTGCCTCCAGGCTGAGCGCTCAGATGTCAAGATTTCCCATCTGTTGAGGTCCATTCCTAAGGCCTTCAGATCTTGCTTGCAGATGTCCTTGTATCGAAGCTGTGGTCTCCCTTGGGGCACTTTCCCTGCACTAATTCTCCATACAGGAGATCTTTTGGAATGTGATCATCAGCCATTCTCGCAACATGCCCAAGCCAACGTAGATGCTGCTCTGTCAGTAATGTATACATGCTGAAAATTCCAGCTCGATCTAGGACTACTCTGTTTGGAACTTTGTCCTGCCAGGTGATACCAAAAATGTGTCGGAGACAATGCATATGGAACATGTTCAGCCTCCTCTCCTGCTATGCACAAAGGGTCCAAATAAGTGTTCAAACAAGATGGGGCTGATTTAGATCACTTAGTTTGCAGCCTTATAGACACTTACCTGATAAGCTGCATAAAAGGCGGGATAGGGCTGGTGATGGAAGACATATACCAGAATATTAAATCAAATCACATATGCCAGGTTTATTTTTGTTTGGACTATATGATCTTGTTTTAGAGATGTTGAAGAGAAGCATAAACTCATAACAAGGACTGAAGCCAAGCAAGAGTATCTTCTGAAAGACTGTGATTTAGACAAGAGAGAACCAGTGCTCAGATTCATTTTGAAGAAAAACCCTCATAATCCACGCTGGGGTGACATGAAACTTTATTTAAAGCTACAGGTACAGAGTCTTCTTCAATCATTATCCTTCCTCTCATCTGTTTTTGACCAATCAACATCTTGCCTTTACTCTATTTAATATCCTTCAAAGAGCCAGGTTGTCATAGTGGATAGAGTGTTAGACTGCAATTCAGGAGATCCCGGTTCAAATCCCTATTTGGCCCTGAAAGTCACATGGCAATTTCAGCCAGTGGTACTGTCTCAGCCTGACCTGCCTCATAGGGTTGTTGTGAGGATAAAGTAGGGGAGGAGAGACATGGACTGGAGAAAAATTGGAACTAACAAACCAGCTGACAAAAGGGTCTTTGAATCATCTGAGTCTTCTGAGAATGGAATGCGGAGGAAATGATTATTTATTCTTCCCTTTTGCAGTGTCCAGAAGCCTCTGTATCTGCTCAAAAGAAAAAAAGCAGACCACTCAAAACAGTGTGAGAGATGATGTTAACAGAGGGACACCAGACACAACCACCTGCAATGTCTAATATCAGTCAGTCAAAGTTTATTGTATTAGCTAAAAGCTGTCACAATTGTTTAAAATACAGATATGGCCAAATAAAATCATGATATAATCAAAGACACATAAAATAATAAGAGACCCTTCATATCTGGGAATCTCCCCCACAATTGATCGGAATGGCTTTCAGAAAATTAGCTCGAATATTTCTGGCCGCTTTTGCGAACAGTGCTGTTCTGTATGTAACATAAGGGTCACAGTCCAACAGTAACCTGGCCACCTTTTATCTGAGGGCTTTCCTCCTGTAGAGCAGCCAAAATGTTACCCAGGAGCTTTTCTCAGGGGTTCTGATATAGCTGACATTAGAGTAAGTAATGAAGAACATCCTCTATTAGATGTTTAGGGACACTCATATACCTGCCATCTAAGACAATGGTTGGCATGGTTTGGAAGCGGAGTTTTGTGAATGCAGTTCTCAAGGAGGCAAAAGTAAGTGTATGTACTGGTAGGTATTGCGCCATTGAGTGGTTTGTTTTCAACAGATGGTACCACTGAGAGGAATTTGAAGAGTGAATTAAGGCCAGGTTCTGGTCATTATCCAGTTTATAGAGCCAGTCTCTCAACATTCTTTTAACCCCAGAAAAAATGAAAATATCTGTGGAGAGGGATTTAGATTTTAGTAGGCTTTGAACTAAAGTTGCCCAGCCACCACTCTTCCATTGCTCTATCATACAACGTTTGGGTAGGCAGTGGTCGGGCATGTCCATCACCCTCTTATAGTAAGAGAGTATAGCTAGAGTTGCCCTGGCTTTGATGGATACCATGCCTGTCTCTGTTCTAAGATAAGCTGCTGGAGTCCCCTGGGGTGCCACGAGGATGTGCCTCAGAAATTTATTCTGTCCTACTTCAAGATGGTGTAGGTTGTTCTGATTCATACTCCAGATCTTAATTCCATAAAGCATTTGGGAGACGACCCTCCCTGAAAATACTTTTAAAGCTGGGGTTACTAGTTTGCCACCTTTAGAATGAACAAATTTGACCAGAGCATGGCTAGATTTCTGAACTGATATTTTCATGCTCTGTATCTGGGATTTCCAGCAGTTTTTCTCATCGGAATGCACTCCCAGGTATTTGAAGGTCTGGACTTGATCTATTTTGTTTTCGCCTATAGTCCAGCTAAACTTGGGGGGATGCTTTCCAAAAATCACTTCAGATTTTGTGTAATTTATTTTTAGTTGCTCTAGGTGGCTAAACTCTTGGAGCTTATTTAAGCTTCGTTTCAATCCCTTTTTGTTCATTGATAATAGAACAATGTCATCAGCATATATGATACTTGCAATCTTATAGTTCCCAATTGAGGGGGGGAAATGGTCTGGATGATTTAAAGCGGTTACAATATTATTAATATAAAAGTTAAAAAGTAGGGGTGCGAGTAAGCATCCTTGTTTTACCCCTTTGTTAGTGTAATTTTTCTCTGTCAGCCTTCCATCTCTGCTAATCCTTACTCTCAACGTTGTATTGGAGTATAGTATTAGAGTTAGGAGTCTCTTATCGATGTTGGTCTCTGTGAGCTTATCCCACAGGCGGTTTCTAGTGAGTGTGTCAAATGCAGAGGAGGAGTCAACAAAAGCCATGAAGAGTCATTTGAATGGTCTGGTGGTATATTTGCACACAAGATGATGTAGCACGTAGATTTAATCTACTGTGCTATGTCCCTTCCTAAATCCTGCATGTTCCTGGTGAAGGATATTATTTTCCCCCATCCATTTAGTCAGCTTCTGGGAAAGAAGGCGGGTATAAAGCTTGGAGCTGATATCCAGTAAGCTGATTGGGTGGTAATTCTGGGGGATGGATTTATCGCCTTTTTTGTAAATTGGGAAAATTATGCTCTGCCTCCACCTATCGGGAAAAATTCCTGTAGCATTAATGTGAGAGAAGAGCTGTGCTAGGACTGGGGCGCACCATTCCCGGTTGTTCTTATAGACCTCTGGAGGGATCATGTCCTCTCCAGGTGCTTTATCTGTTGCTAGGGCATCAATAAGTTTATACACTTCCTGTTCTGAAATGGGGGGCCATTCGGGTGTAGAGTTTAGTGGAGTCTGGGGGGTTCTCACTTTTTGTGGCCCAGTGTCTGCATCACTATTGGAAATAGTTTGAAAGTACAGTGGTGCCTCGCTTAATGATGTTAATTCGTTCCAGCGAAATCGCTGTAGAGTGAAAACGTCGTAAAACGAAAATAAAAAACCCATTGAAATGCATTAAATCCCGGTTAATGTGTTCCAGTGGGCTAAAAACTCACCATCCAGCGAAGATCCTCCATACGGCGGCCATTTTCGGTGCTGGTCTAGCAAGGAATCCGTCCTAGAAAACAGCAGGGGGGAATTTTCTTCAGCCAGTGACCATTTTGGAACCCGACGATCAGCTGTTCGCTGATCATCGTAATGCGAAAAATCGGTTTCCGAAGCAGGGAACTGATCATCACACAGCGGATTTTGCCCATAGGAAGCATCGTTTTGCAATCACTTTTGCGATCGCAAAAAAGGCATCGTTAAGCGGATTCGTCATTATACGGGGCAATCGTAAAGCGAGGCACAACTGTAGTGGCACCAGGCATTTGCCATGATGCAGACAATGTTTAACGTGGTGTAATATGCACTCAAGCAGGACAATTTACTCTTGCACATATCTGAAAAAATTCAGTTTGAGATTTCTCCATTGCCTGTTTATCAAAATTGTTTATTTATCCTGAAAAGGAAAAAAAAGGGAACAAGCCAGTGAGCTCAAGTCAGTTCTGACAGGGGTTTCTTGTATACCAACTTCTTTCTGTCTTTGTAGTACAATAATATTGCAAACAGCACATTAATGAGTTTGCATAATGAATTTTTGTTTATATGTGTTTTGTGGGCAACTGAAATTTGTTTGTCATTTTCTACAGATAATCAAACGTTCTCTTGAAATTTGGGGTAGTGAAGAAGCATTAGAAGAAGCTAAGGAAAGCCGCCAGGACAACAGAGAGAAGCTGAAACAGAAAAAGTTTGATAGAAAAGTTAAAGGTGTGCACTAAGTCATTCTTTTTATAGTCCCCTCTTCACATCTAGCAGTGAAACGTTTGAACATACTGCCATAAAGCTGGTTTAGGTCTCTGGAGCCAGAGATTGCGATTTTGATTCCCCCCCCCCCAATGCCTCCTTGACAGGAGCTGGATTTGATGATCCATAGGGTCCTTCCCTTCCAGTTCTGCAGTTCTAAGATGATGATGATGCACAGTCCCAGGATTCCCCCTAAAGAAGGGAATGGTAAACCACTTCTCTGTATTCTCTACCTAGAAAACCCAGGAAAGGGTCATCATGTCAAAATTGATGATGATGACGACGACAATGACAGTGTCTATAATCTAACACTGTCAGCTGATTAACAGTTTTCAGATCTGCAGGTTGTCCATGTTAATTTTTATTAGTGGGATTTATAGATTAATGTCTGGGTATCTGTACTCACATCTGTCTGTTTTAAGTGTATGTATACACATGAACTTCAGCTGACTTTTAGAACATGTTATATAAAATTTTAATATGAAACATAATGCATTAATTGGATCACTAATAAGCTATGGACAAGATGAGTTTTTGGGTTCCGAGAAAACTTTTAATCATGCAAAGGAATGTTAACTTGGAAATAAGAGAGGAATCAAATAGTTTAATACCTGGTCAAGAAGCTATGCCCATTATTCTCAAATGCAGATTGCTAGGGAAGGAAAATGGAGGTTGCATTTTGTGACAGATGTGTTAAGGTGCCCTTCTACAAATGCAAGAGCGGGTTATATTTTTATTAGATGACTAAAAAAAAATCACAGTTTTCAATATTAGTCCATCTCCTTGCAGCTTGTGTTGGAACTCACCTTAAGAAGCAGATTTGGCACAAATATATATATATTCTCAGGTAATGTAAGGATTATTTACGTGCTGAGCAGAATCCTGTTGTAATATAAATTTTCATTGTTGTACACATACTGGGCCATTCTGCCACTGCAACAAAGACTGCATAAGTCAATTGAGCACTCAGTTATGTCGCTCCTGTTTTGACCAAATATGCAATGCACTGGCAGAAATGCTATAGCACTTTTGCCTTGGACACTGTTGAAAGTCTCCTTGGAGATGTTCTTCCTCTTGCATGCTACCTAAGTTTGGTGTTCCCAGTGCAATGGTTTCGTAGTAGAGAACAGCAGGTACTTTGTAACATTGTTTAACAAAGTTATGCTGCTTCATTGCATCAGTTAAGGATTCAGAATTTGGTACCAAGGTATATTCCTGAAACAGTAGACCAGGAGTGGGTGAAGGGTAGCCCTTCAAATTTTGCTGGACTTCAGTTCCCAGTGTTCCTCATCATTGGCTGTATTGGCTAGAGCTGTTAGGAACTGCTTACCCTCCCTACAGTAGACCCACTTTTCATACACTTAAGGCCCTCTCCAGAGCAGTTCTTGGAGTTAATCTATATATTTTTACTTTCTACCTGTACTAGAACTTCGGCGAGCTGTAAGGAGCAGCACATGGAAAAAAGATACAAGCGTCCATCAGCATGAATATGGAGCTGAAGAAATTATAGATGACGACCTTTACAAAAAGACCTGTACCACATGTGGTCATGAACTAACATATGAAAAAATGTAATATTTTTGGTTTTACATTCTTTGTGTCTTTTTGAATATTAATTTTTGTATTTTCTAAAATAAACTGTACTACTTGTGCTACACTGCTTTGCACTCACAGTATAATCATTGTCCACACATGAAATGCTGTTTCTATTTTACAGCAGAGAGGCTACATTGTAAAGACTATTGAATAATGAAATCCATGTATAGGTGCTTGTAGCCTTAGCACTGCCTAAGATAGTTCATAGGTAGCAGTTGTATTTTTTTTTAAAAAAACCATGGAGTCATGGATGAATGTTGGTTTTTTTTGAAGGATGAAGACATCTGTGTTCAACTCTATAAACACTTTACATTGTTACAATTGAATCCAGCTTTCCGTCTTGCTCTACTAGTATAAACTTAGATGCATGTGAAGTTATACCCTGTATTCAAGTTAATAGAGCCTTTGTATTTGCATATATTTATGTATATGTGAGAGAGGCATAACAGCCATCCTGTGGGATTACACAATACTACAGTTATGTGTCATGAGGTTTTAATATGTATGCAGTAAAGGTTAAGTTTTAGATATAATCTGAAATATATTCCATAGCCATGGCTGCATGCATTTCTAGGCAATCCAGAGCCTTTAATTAAGAAGTTACTTACCTTTAGTTAAAGCACATAAGTTAACCAGGTGTACTAATGCTAAAACAAAGCCTTGTGGGGAATATAGTGATAATTGTGTTCTGGATAAGCATCCAGATATAGAGCAATTGCTTTAAACACCAGCAAGCAGAGGAAAATGTTTCTTACATATTGCATAGAGGAAAGTACTTGGACTACAAATTTTGATGCATCATTGCTTACAATAGGTGAAAAAAGTGTTATTGTAATTAGGAAAAAGAAACAAGGTAGCAGGAGCAATGCTTCAATAATTAAATCATCTAGCAGTCACAGCATACAATCAGATCATGTGAGATATATAAGAAATAGGACAGACTAGAGATGAAAGGTTAAAGACCAGTTTATCCCTAATGCTAAACCAGGATTTAAGTATGTCTTCGAGTGGAACATCAGTTATGCTCTCTCACCTTTGTAGATTTCCTGGATAGTTTCTGATAAGGTGGAGTTGGTGGGTTGTTCAATACAAACACTAGCTAATTGACAATAAGCCAACAAACCTTGTACTGATTTACAAAGCCTGATTTGTATAAAATGGCAGGCCAGAAATCACCAAAGAGGTAGGCAACACTGGGCACTTAGGTTTCTTCGAGCATGGAATGAAAGAAATCCAACAATAAGTTAATTCCACCTCCCTGGTTTCCAAGGAAAAGGAGAGAGCATACTATATTTATGTTAGATTTTTGTGCCCTTGGTCTCTACCCATGGTCGGGGAAGGTAATGGCTTAGATTGTAATACAGTAAGTCTCAGCAAGCCCAGCAGATAGACTGGAGAGAATAGCTACCCTATATGCATCAATCAAGTTGGGTATGGATAAAGCTTGTTTTAGATAGTAGGTTCAACTTGTGTTCTTATGTGTCAACTGTCTCCGATTAGTGTGCAATTTGGATGCTTCCATCACATCAAACACCGCAGAAAGACTGAATGGGAAATCCCTGTTGGTGCTTGCAAGTGTAGTGTAAGGAGGGCACTGGTATGATGGTGACCCTAATCTAACCTATATTATGTGATGTGTGGTGCCCAAGTCTTTTCCACTCAAGTTATTAGGACTTATGGACATTCTCCCATTGGGAATTACATAATAGCAGCAATCAGGAAGGAACACTCAAGATCATAACTATTACACCAGATGTCACCACAATGCCTTGTGGTAAGATATACTCTGATTTTCAGTTGCTCAAATGTAATGCATTTAACCATTCCATTCCTTGAGATCCTTTTTGTTGGAGAGAATCTTCAGTCTTCTCTGTTCTTAAACTGAATTTGTGAAACATCATGGTTTAAGTGCTTTAAAGTAACCTAGCCCTGATCAAGAGAACAAATTAAACTACCAAGTATCTGTTTACAACCATAGCACAGATCTGTTGCCAGAAGAGGATGATTGTTTCTTCTTTAACAGCACCTTCACAAGTCTCAAACCCCCAAAAGAAAATGTAGATCTATCACATTATATGGAACTGCTAAAGTATTTTTCTGACATGAATGGAAAATGTTTGCTCTCATACCAACTTTGCCTGCTCTTTAAATTTCTTTATGGCAGATCTGATGGAATCCAAGTATGATACTTTCACTGAATTAGATGTTTAATACATATCACAAAGAATTACTCTTCAGAATAATTACAAAATCCAAATTCCTCTTTACTCAGTGCACCCTAGTCTGTGGGAAGGAAACTGGTATCTCAAAATGACTATAATTGACAAATAGGCCCTGTAGTGACTTTGGATGCAAAAACAAGATTTTGCCTAGATACTGTACTTGTAAAGCCAGTTCCAAATAAATACCTGATCCTGATCTGTGTGAATATTTAGGAAGATGCGCAATAGTTGATTTATCTTCTTTCTTGGACCATTTCTTCCTCTTGTTAAGGTATGCTAAAGATGGAAGAAGCTACTGCCTAGGCTAGTTCTTGATCAGTTTTTCATTTCTTGGTTACATTTTCTAAAGACTGAGCAGGGGACCCCTCACAGTGTGACCCCCTCCCCAACTCTAATGAGTACGTAATCCCCTACCCCATTTAACATTTACCTTGCCCATGAAGTTTTAAGTAACCTTAGAAAGGCTTATGCAAAAAAAAACCCTCCCTCAAACCGTACTGAATACAGTGGGGTCTTGACTTGAGAACTTAATCCGTATTGGAAGGCGGTTCTCAAGTCAAAAAGTTCTCAGGTCAAATCTGCATTTCCCATAGGAATGCATTGAAAACCATTTGATCCGTATCTGTTCTTTTCCGTCCATAGAAACTAATGGGAAGCTGCTATTCTGCCTTCGACCACTAGAGGGGGATATTTTGTTTCTTTTTTTCTTAGGTCAAGAAAGGTTCAGGGAAGGCAGGGAAAATACAGTCCAGGCAGTACCAGGCAGTCTGAAGACTGTCTCCCAATCCACTCTCTAAACGCTGGGAGGAGTGAGGAAGCAGACAGGCACCCTTTTCACTGGCCAACAATTAACTGAAAGTTCAAATTTTGCATTTTCCCTGCCTCCCACGTGGTTTTTTTCCCAGTTCTTAACTCAAATCTAAGTATGTAAGTCAAGTCAATATTTTCCTATGAGAGTGGTTCTTAAGTCAAAATGTTCTTAACTCAAGCCGTTCTTAAGTCAAGACCCCACTGTACGTATTAAGGACACAGCAGCTGTCAGATATGTATAGTGACTTCTTATCGAGTATTTTTGCATTGGAAATACTTTTACCTACTCTCAGAGAAGCACACAAGAAATTTTTTAAAAAACACCGAGAGTGATCAGATGAGCATATAGTATGCTATTTGGTTTCCTTTTGGTGTCATTCGGTTTGCCTTATTTTCTGATGAACACATATCAAATGAGAGTGATCCATCCTGCCCTTTCTGCAATCTGTTCTGTTCCTTTTTGGCACAGCCCTAGGCTACAGGTTATTTGTTGTGATATGGAGCACTGTTGATTATCCTGTTCTGCAGTCTTTGTGGTTGCTTAATCCACTCCCAAATACAGCATTGTCTTTGTGTGCAGTGTGACAGCAAAAAGGGCAGTGGAGAAATCCACTTATTTTTCTCTTCTCATGTTATTCTAAGCAATGCAGTGCTACTTCAGATATAATGGAGCATCCAGGCTATGCTGATGTATAGATTAGGTATCCTTCAGTCTTGAGAGACTATGATAATGTGCTCTGTCTGGAGGACTTGGAACAGCTTCTAGTGAGAAGGCCAATTTAAGAGTGACAATCCCTTCCACACTGAGGACAAATACAATCTGTCCCCTGTCCAGCTTTCTGATTTTGCTGGTTTTGGGACTGCCTCTTTGCCTTGGCCTGCTGGACAAGTATCTCTTCAAAATGGAAGATGCCATGATGCACCGTCTGCCTCCAGGCTAAACGCTCAGATGTCAAGGTTTCCCATCTGTTGAGGTCCATTCCTAAGGCTGTCAGATCCTGCTTGCAGATATCCTTGTATTGCAACTGTAGTCTCCCTCTGGGGGACTTTCCCTGCACTAATTCTCCATACAGGAGACCTTTTGGAATCCGACCCTCAGCCATTCTCACGACATGCCCGAGCCAACGTAGACGTCACTGTTTCAGTAATGTATACATAGCTATGCCACTTCCTAAATTAAACAACTTTAAAAAGAGGAGAATGTCTGCAGAATGACAGCCATGACAAAAGGTGAGGAAAGGGCAGGGGCATAAATAATCAAAGGAGGGAGAAACTTGAGCAATCTGAAGTGCTAGCTGGATCCTTCTCATAGAAAAAGAAACATCTTCCATGTGAATGACAGGTATGCTGAAATGCGAAAGATCACACTAAAGATCTTTCAAACATGACCCAAATCACTCCAAATTCTCCCATCTAGTCTCACCCACAATTTGATTGTATTTTAAGCCTTATTTAAAATAACCATGAAAATTAATTTTGGTAACAAACATATACAGTGGGGGCTCGACTTACGAACTTAATCCGTATTGGAAGGCAGTTCTCAGGTCGAAAAGTTCTTAAGTCGAATCTGCATTTCCCATACGAATGCATTGAAAACCATTTAATCCGTATCTGCTCTTTTCGTCCATAGAAACTAATGGGAAGCTGCTATTCCGCCTTCTGCCACTAGAGGGGGATATATTTTTTCTTTTTTTCTTTTAACCTAAGATGACTTAGCTTTTAAAAAAAGGAAAAAAAGAGTTCGTAACTCGAATCTAAGTTCGTAAGTCGAGTCCATATATTCCTATGAGAGCAGTTCGTAAGTTGAAACGTTCGTATGTCAAGCCGTTCGTAAGTCGAGACCCCACTGTACTCTAGGTTATTCCTTAGGCTTGACCTTTTATTTCATGTTTCACGTGTTGTTCTTTACGTGTCTGTTCCCTGAAGAATCTGATGTCACCCTATGGAAAGCTCTTGGTCTTAAGAACAGCTTCACATTGTTTTAATGAGGGAATCCATTCTTACAGAATAGCCAAGAAAGGTTACCAATTCTATTATTTCCTATTTATTTTTATACAAACGGGGTGGGTGGAGGACACAAAACAAATCCTATGACAAAGTCAACATTCAAACCATTTCAAAATTAGGAGTCCACACATTATTCCATCCCAATCACCTAGCAGTCATAACTATAGTAAGGCCTCTACTGCCAAGAAAAATTGCCCCATTTGAATATTGTGTAGCTTATCTAGGAAAGCACAGTAGGTTGATTTTCAAATTAAAAGCTTCTTTTTTCTCCTCCCTTGTCAAATTTCCCAATTTTTTTGTTTAAAAAAAGATGAAGTCATTTAAGTCCTATATAAAAGAGTTGCTCAGGCCTGCAGTGCACAGAACTGCTGAAACACAGCCAGTATGTGATGATCCAATTCTGCTGTGAACAGAAGATTCTCCAAGGTCCCCATGTACTGATGGATGATCTGATGATGCTGTAGAGAGAAGGAAGTGGATCGGTTACTGTTATCAATCATGACAGGAAAGAAAGCCCACATCTTGCTCTATACTGCTATCTCTGCTTTCCTTTGCATTCTGTAGCTTGGAAAGAACCAGAATTGTTTACTTGTACAGATAGATACAAATTTAGGGACTGTATAGCTTTATTTCTGAAGGGCAGTGACATGAAGCAATAAATAGATTTAAGATAAGCAAGTTTTGTTTTTGTACCATATGAATCAGTGGGGGTGCAACTATTTGCCACAGAATTGGACTTTGAAGCAGTTTTAATAGACACATTCCAAACATGGGCACCAGAACCATCTACATTACTCTCTCTGGTCACCTCTCATCTAACTTTAGACATCAAAGGCACCGGGAAGAATTCATCAAATGATAAATCAAATCAATGGTTTGTGCAGGCTCTGGCAGCAGAAAGCAGGCCTTGCAGAAAGCAGGTCCTAAGTCACTGAGGGGCTTTATCAGTACTCTGAACTGTGTCCACAAACAGACCAGCAGCAAATGAAACTATTTCAGCACTGACAAAATATATTCTCACAGAGTGGTTTAAATGAGCAATAATCCATTCTAGAGGATAACTGTGGCCAGGCTATGTTTGCCTAGGAGGGTGCAGCTAGCATACCAGCCTTTAGTTAGTAAAAGGCACCATGGCGCATGGATGCTAAATCAGATAGACACTGAACTATGCTTTAAAGTACACTGAACAAGCTGCAAATGAAAGGGACCATGGTAGTCTGAGTGAGGCACTTGTGGGTTTCTCTCCAGTATCATGTATTAGACACATCAATATACTCTTCTTTTCAGTGAGCATCCACAAATTCTAGAATTCTGCTAGTTAGTCACACTGGTGTAAATGCACTGGTATAAATTAAAATGGCAAACTGCTGCTAGTTAACAAGTTGCTGCTTGAACACTTCATTGTCCACCACTTGTACAAGGTGATGTGTGACAAGGGATACAAGTGGCAACCTGTTAGTGGCAATACACTGCTGAGAGCCACTGCACTTATGTCAATATAACTTATCAATAGGACTCTAGCTCAAATTTCAAAGATCAGTATATTTCTTAAACAGTCTATCACTGCTGCAATTTGAGATTACAGCTCACATTATATGGACTGACAACTACAACATTTAACTCAAACTAATACAGTGGCACCTCGCTTAGCGATCGCTCTGCACAATGAAGAAATCACTTAGCGACGGGGTTTAAGTGATCGCAAAAGCGATCGCTGAGCGATGTTCCCTATGGGGAAAATTCGCTTTTCAATGATCGCGGGGAAGCGATTATCGCAAAGCCCCCATTTTCAGCCAGCTGATTGGCGGTTTCAAAATGGCCACTGGAAAAACAAAATGGCACCGAAAATGGCCGCCCCTACGGAGGATTTTCACTTAAGGTTAGTTTTTAAGCCCATAGGAACACATTAATGGTGTTTTAATGCGTTTCTATGGGCTTTTTAAATCCATTTAGCGATGAAATTGCTTAGCAACATTTTTTCTTGCACGGATTAACGTCGCTAAGCAAGGCACCAACTGTACTTTTTAATATTAATTGTGGGCAAGCAAAGAAAATGAGTAATTCTCCACTTTCTAGTGACCACATGAATTTTAATAAGTAGGAGGCACACCTGTAAGAAGATCTGCTGCAGCCTCTCTATACAGTTCTTGTACCAAGGTGTAATTACATCAATCCCTCCAGTTTCACATCGGACTAGATGCTCTGTTAGAATCATAATGAAACGCTGGAAAGATAGCACATGTTGAAATTACTAGTCTAGCAACATTTCTCAAGTATAAGAAAGTCAGGCAATACAACATCTGTATTAAAAAGAAATAAGCATTTAAGCACATCTAAGAAACAGCACCGAGGACAGTGTAATTTATTACAGGACAGGAGGTTGAATGAATATTGATCTTACTATGATATTTAGACTTCTTGTTCCCACATGCACAGAACGTCTACTTTACATATAGTTATAGCTTATATGCATTAAATATTTATTTATTTATTAAATTTGTACCCTGCCCCTCTAGATCATGTCTACTCGGGGCGGCTTACAACATAAAATAAATCAATATAAAATAAATATAAATATAACCTAAAAATTGAAAACCATACTCTAGTGATTTGCTATTAGAGATTTCAGCCTCCCTCACTATGTCACCAATCTTCTATTCCCTCTTTCTGCAACTGCTCACTGAATATTTTTGCTCTTACCTGGAATATTACAAGAAAGAGGTTTTTCTGTTCACTCTGAGCTGATTCAACTTTTTCCTGCAGGCGTTCTATCTGCTCTTCCAGAGGACCATCTTCCCTGTCAATACTACGGTCATCATCGCCGTCGTCATCATCACTGTCTCGCTGGAAAAAGTCATAATTTAGGGAATCCCAAGTGCCCAGAGACCAAAAAAGGCACTGCATATTTAATACCCTCAATATTTTATGCAAAGCCATTTCTAGCTCTTCCAGAATGTCTCTCTGCAGAATTCATCCAAGTTTTTCTTGAGAGGATTTGTGAGGTGTTCTTAGTTTTACAAGAGACCTGATCTACCTCAACACTAAATGCTTGCATGTGGCACCCTGAAGCTAATTAGCATAACCCTTTCAGCACATATCCTTCTGTTTACTTTTAAAAGCCCACACAAAACAAAATCAAAACAAAAACAATAAACGGCACTGCTGCACATTTCTCCAAAGAATGCCCAATAGTACATAACACAGTTCTACAGTTGCAGTGACGTCAGCCTGACTAAGCAGCTGACCTGAGAACCATTTGTAAGGTGTCCTCAGCTTTTTCAATGAAAAGCTGGGGATATTTTATTTTATTTTATTTAACTTATATGCTGCCCACTCTACCCAAAGGTCTCTGGGCGGCTTACAACAATGAAAATTCAATTAAAATATAGTAAAATTTAAAATGATTAAAATACAATTAAGATAGATATGTGTAGTTCACCACAGAGTTCATTTAATGAGAGCCATTTTGGCTTCTACGTTTGTCTGATATATGCTCATAATGAGCATCTGAAATTCATGACCACAAAAGGTAATGACGGTGTGAAGGACAGATGGCTAGTGTGCCGTCCTCAGCAGATGACAGAAAGGAGGGGACATTTGAGTGTGTAGAGGGAGAAATCATAAAAACAGAGGGGGATGAAATTAAGGGGGAGAAAGCCATAGAGATATGCTTGACGGAGGAGAAGGAGGGAGCAAAAGGGGAGGAGCAAGATTTGATATTACGGGAGGAGGTTATAAAAGGAGGGGGAGAAGAGTGGGAATTTAGAACACAAGTGGGCAAGAAAGATAAGAGCAGGAGAGATAGCGCGGTACAGACAGACAAGATAGAAGAACAAGCTAATAAGGTCTGTGACTTGCTAAGGGATTTCCCAAATCTCAAGACGGGTGGAGGATTGCTTCCTGGCCCCTCTTCTCCCCAGAGTGGAGAGAGGGTTGACAAGCCCCTAGAATGGACGGTTGTGGTTTTCCCCCAAAACCAAGGCGGAGGGAGGAAAGTGATTTGTCCCGGTCCTATATGCAATATCCCATCCCCAGAGGGGGATTGGGTGAGGCCATCCGTGCTGTGGGATGGTGTGTGCAGTGAGGAGTACCCCGAGGCAGCAGGTGACAGACCGAGCGCGCTTTGGTCCAGCCCCGATGTGAGAGGAGTCTTGGCATCAGAGCCGAAGTTGTTGAGTTATGGACTGATACCTGAGTTGAGTAGTTTTGATCCTTTTAGTAATGTTAATCAAGAAACAGAAGAGAATAAAACTAAGTTTGTTGAACAGTTCAAATTGCCTCCGTCTCTCATTCCTGCCAAAATGAAGGAGCCATCACCAATTTCTGAAGAACCCAATCACAGATGGCCACAAGATAATTTTTTTTTTAAAAAAGAAATGAACATTCTTATTGCTGGTGAAATGTAGCTTCAAGGAACATTTCTTTCAACAGTCATGGAAAAAATGTACCTACACGTTTGTGCTGTTTGGCTAATCTTGCTTTGGCCTCTTCTAGCTCCTTCTGGATCATCACCACATGCTTGTTCATCTTACGAATTGTTGAGTGCAAGATTTCCCAAATATAAAATCTGACAAAGAAACAACACATATACTCTTATTCATGCAAAGTCACTTTGCTTGTATAAGCTATGAGGCTAACAAACATTCAATGCACCCACACACTCTTGTGAAGCTGGTTATAAACTGTCTCTTCATGTACGGCAGAGGAGGGCCATGATGCTCAAGGGCCTCCTATGCTCTCCCATAAACATAGCCGCTGAATTAGAAACACATTCCTCACTGTGAAAAAAACCTCTATACAAGTTTCAAAAAGTGGGTTGAAAAATTGCTTCCCAGACATTACCACAACACACGAAGAGTTCTGTGGCACCTTAAAAAAATTAATTGTGCCATCAGTTTATGCAATAATAAATCTGTTAGCCTTCAAGATGACTTGTGACCCTGCCATTCTTTTCTCCAACAGACTAGCAGGGCTACCTCACCGGAAAATCTTAAAGGTAGCTACTTTGAAAAAGTAAAATGGGATATCCTTTCAAACGTCTTTTTAAAATGTTCAAATCATAATCCAAATACTTTAAAAAGTGGAATGCAAAAGGAGATTCTGATTTAATTACCTTGTGAAATCATGAGCCAGCTCTGAAGAGAAAATCCAGTTTGCTACAGCAGCACAATCCACAATCTGTGTACGAATCATTTTATCCACCAGGACTGCAATCATCTGTGTTATGAAAAAAGTACAGACTACTTTGTCGATTTAATAGAAGGATATGCTTATTTGTTGCTGTAAGCAAGCATGCAATCCCTCTCTCACATCCCCTTCATTTCTCCTCCACTATCAACCTTCTTACAGGGGCTGAAATCCTGTTGCTTGCCATAGTGACCTGCAGCTAGAGTAAGCTAATTAAATCAATGGGACTTCTGGAGGAGCTGACTCAACAAATTCCTACTGATTCAGTGAGACTACTGTAATTGCAACTTACTGAGCTAAGCAATGGAATTTCAGCCATAAGATGTTATGTTCAGAAAACAGACTCTAATACTGTATTTCCTAAATCCCTAATTATTACTGGCCTAGTTTTATTCTAAGTTTCACTCACTCTATTCTTTGTACACGAAAAGAAGACTGAAGAAAGAGGAGCTCTATAAATACTTATTCTCACCTGTGGATGATTCTTCCATACTTCATACATAACTCTGAGGACATGGAGCTTCCCTTCATCACTTTCTGCCAGCGTTTTGAAAACTTCACGAAATCTTTTTGGAACAGAAAACAGAAAAAAAAAGGCTGTGCAAATGGAAAGTACAATGCCATTTCCTTCCTTGGCCCTACTATGAGATTCAACAGCTGATTGTTTAAGCAGTACTGCAAGTCATCTTGGATGCACAGTTCTGAGTGGCAAAAAGAGGTCTGGTTTCCCAAAATGATTGTCCTCTCCATTTCCAGTCACAGAGGAGAATCCCACTTGGAACCGGAAGTGGTTGCTTTGCCAATCTTCTACAGAGACTTCATTTGCACTTCCTTAGGGGTGATCTGGGGGCATCCTCCTCCTCTTCTCAAGCATCAATTCTACCAACTCAACAGCTGATCACAGGTAAAATGAGACACTGCAGGAATGCCATCACATCAATGACCAGGAGTGCACCAAAGTTCAGCTGGTAGGTAGTAAGAAGGGAAAGAAATGTGTATCCCAACTTCCCCACATCAGTACAAAATGTCAGACATTTTTATCCCTAAATGCACTTTATTGTAGATTTTGGTCAGGAGCTGTTTTATCTCCAGAGGAGATGTACCTTTACAATAATGTACGAGCTGAAGGATAAGCAACTTTGGCTCTAGTTACCCCTGCAGAAACACATGAATGGAACTTCCTGGATCATATGAACAGCAACAAGCTTTTAGCTCAGCTCTTCCCTTATACATCTTACTTGTTTATTTGTGTTTGCCTGGTTCCTGGCGCACATACACAGAATAACATGGATCTAGAGAGAACTGTTATATTCTGCATGTTGGTGCATGGAGGGAAAGAAGAACTCTTTTCTGATTTCTTGCCATAGGAAGAAGTTGTTCAGCACAAAGGTTTGCAATAGGCATGGGGTGCCCAGCCTGATTACCTCCCACCCCAAGACCCTACATGACCACTAAGCACACAATACATGACATGCATGGCTGATGTAATTTTCTGCGTCCCAATCGCAGAAATAGATGCAACAGCCCTGCCTTCCTGCTTGCCCTGCCACACTGTGGCTGAACAGGGAGACTCGTCCTCCTGCTCCTTTGCCAGAGGGGCTGGGCAAGTAGGGAGGTGGGGCTGCAGTAGCCGAGCTACTGCCGCATTTGGGGCGCAGAAGATAATGTCAGCCACGCATGTCGCATATCGTGTGGTAAGTGGTCTGGTGGGGTATGGGGATGGGAGGAAATCAGGCTGGCCACCTGTGTCACATATTTGTATACACCCCCCCCATCTCTAGTTTTGCAATATACCAATATACCACTGACCATTCAAGAAGCCCAAACTGCTACCCTGTTTCCCCGAAAATAAGACTTAGCCTGAAAATAAGCCCTAGTATGATTTTTCAGGATGCTCGTAATATAAGCCCTATCCCCAAAATAAGCCCCAGTTAAGTGAAACCCCGCTCTCCAGCATTGTGCAGCATCGTGCAGCAACTGGAAGAAGATATGACTGTAAAATAAAACATCCCCTGAAAATAAGCCCTAATGTGTTTTTGGACCAAAAATTGATATAAGACCCTATCTTATTTTTGGGGAAACACGGTAGCTGCATACCCCTATTACAGATCACATAATGCAGAAAAACAGTAATATAATGAAAAGAAAAAACGAAATTGAAATTTTGTAACTCTGTTGAGTTTTTCCCTGCCAATTGCTTCCTATAGGAGCTGTCTCTTCAGCTCCTATAGGAAAATTAATATGAGCTCTATGAAACAGCAGCAACATATTAGATACAAAGAAAAGGAAACATCATGATAATACTTACTTTCCCAGAGCACTAAAGGAGTGACTGAATGACTTTGAAGCTAAATGCAGCACTGTTTGGACAAATACCTCTATTTTTAATGGATTGAAGGAGAAGCCCTCATCTAAAAAAATAAAAGAAAAAAGAAAGAAAGGTACATTGACATATAAGTCAGTACTTCCACTACACTACAGACTAATTCAAGTCTATGAAGAATCAATATTTTTCTGCTTCTCCTTAGAAACTGTGTATGTTTACACTTACTTAACTACAGGAAAATATGATCAAATGAATCATCAAATCTCATAACAGATTCTTATTGATTTTAGTTTTAATACATGTTATTAAACAAATTTTTCCAAATATCAACATGTTTATCTTACAATTCATTGTTACTTGAGATTTGCTGATGGATGAACACAGCTTAAGCTGGTGTATTTAAACAGCTAAATATAAATTAATATACTAGAAATATTTACATTACATTGCAATTATATAATTAATATAATATAAATAGTTCATATACTGTAAATATTATTTAATATTAAATATTATTTAACTAATAGAAAATTAGTACCATCATGCAGGCCTAGGCTAATTTTGTTTCTCTTTCTTTTTTTTAAAAAAACTATTTTAGCAATAATGATTCATATGAACATGGGTCAAAGAATTTGAAGCTTCTGATACAATTCCCCAACTGTACCTGAATGTGCATATATTCTTCCCTTGCTTAGCACTATTCTGCTTCCTTAGTTTCCTTTATTGCATCCCCTGTCATCTTCGAAAAGCATTATGTACATTTGAAGTGAATATCTGAGGAACTATGGCCATATACAGGCTAGCTCAAGACGCTTATATAAACCTACGAACCTGAGCCATGTACTCAGATAAAATGACACCACAATTTCTTATACAGAACAGTAAAGTCACCTTAAAGACAGACAAAATCAAGACTATATTGTGGCAACTATCAAATGCCTTACCATCATCATCATCCTGATTAGGATTAGGAACATCCTTCAGAATGGTGAAGATTTCATCATTGCTTGCTTTATTCTTAATGGCAATGTTTAAGCAAAGTGCAACATTGTATCCTGGGAGTGACTCTACATGTAAAAAAGAAGAAGCAAAGACATCCTCTTGAGAAATCAGTCCATATTCTTTCATAAAATTTGGCAGTAAAATACAAATAACTCCGTCCTTGGAAATCACACAATTTTGCAGCCTTTAGTGGGCCAGACCTTAGTAGAATTAATATTTTAGTCAAAATTCATCCTCCTTTCCCCCACTAATCTAGACTTTTGTTTTGAAATCAGTCAGATGGGACATGTGGCATCTTTGCACCCCTGAACTAATTAATTACTGTTCTGTACAATAGATCTGAACTCCAGTTTTTTTAAAAAAGAGCAGCAGGGATTCAACAGCGAACCTATGAAGCAGGAAACTGACACATCCACAATATTGATGATGCCATCTGCTATAACACTGTTGGACTCAAGCAGATGTGGCCCTGGATAGCAGATCATTAAGAATTACTTGTATGCTGTCCTGCGCTTTTTAAAGATAGGTAAAGGTAAAGGTTCCCCTTGACATTTAATTCAATTGTTTCCGACTCTAGGGGGAGGTGCCCATCCTTGTTTCAAAGCCAGTGTTTGTCCAAACACAGTTCCCATGGTCACTTGGCCAGCGCGACCAGACACAGAACGCCATTACCTTCCGACCGAGGTGGTACCTATTTATCTACTCGCATTTTTACATGCTTTTGAACTGTTAGGTTGCCAGGAGCTTTTTAAAGACAACACAACTATAAATATAATAATAAAACATAACTGTGGTAAAATGCTTCTCTTGCTAAAATGGCCCCATCAAATGTGTCACTATAATTATCAGCACACAGCAAATGAGCTGAGAAAGTGGAGCTGGTTAAAGTCTCCACTTATGAAAATTCCGAGTTACGGAAAGCTCCGGCCACAAAATTTTGCTTCTAGTTGTGTCCGGAGCTTCCACTTATGAAAAGAAAAAGGCAGGAGGAAAGGGTGGGAAATTTAAATGTACAGTACTAACTGTTGGTGGTGAAGAGGCTGCTTCTTTGTAGCTCTTTCACCCCAATAGTTAGGGAAAGGGATGCGATGGGGGTATCCCAGAGCCAGGAGGCTTGAGCTGGGCGGGTTTCTTTGACCGCTTGCCTCCTGGCTCACCTCTCGCTCGCTCCGTACTGCCATCCACCATTTGAATTTCACACCATGGGCCCACGGAAGGTGGTGCAGAGCAAGCGGGAGGCAAGCCGGGGGGCAAGTGGCCAAAGAAACCTGGCCAGCTCAAGCCTCCCGGTGCTGGGTGACCGCGGCCGGGGGTGAGCGGCCCAAGCACCCTGGCCAGGCTCAAGCCTCCGGGTGGCGGCAGTTGTGGTGGAGCCAGGGCTGGGACGAAGCAGTGCAGGTAAGGTGCTGCTTTTAACTTTTTACTGTTTTGGTGGGTTTTGCAGGGTGGAATTTGGTTGGTGGAGTTATGTTTTAGTTGTTGTTTTTTTTGCAGGCTTGCAGTATTTTATTTTTATTTTTTGAGGGGTATTTTTTCCTTCAACCAGAACGGATTAAATGGTTTTCATTGCATTCCTATGGGAAATGGTGCTTCTACTTACGGAAATTTCAACTTATGGACACTGTTACAATACAGATTAATTCTGCAAGCTGAGGCACCACTGTAATTAGTTTTTGGTAGAGGTGGCATTCAAATGAAATTCACTTCTCAGTTTCTCATCTGCTAGGCTCCACCTTGAACAGATGGAGTCAAAAGTGAGCCGTAGAAAAGATACTTGTTTTTTTGCCCTGGCAGTCAGAAACTGCTAACAACTGTAATACAGTGGTACCTTGCTTAACGATTGCCCTGCATTACGACAAATCTGCTTTATAACGATCGCAGAACGATGGTCTAAATGGGGGAATATCACTTAGTGATGATCGGTTCCCTGCTTTGGGAACCGATTTTCGCTTTATGACGATCAAAAACAGCTGATCGCCGGGTTTTCAAAATGGCCACCAGGTACTTAAAATGGCTCCCCGCTGTGCTTAGGGAAGGATTCCTCGCTATACAGGCAGCAAAAATGGCCGCCGTATGGAGGATCTTTGCTGGACGGTGAGTTTTTACCCCACTGGAACGCACTGAATGGGTTTCAATGGGGTTTTAAATTTCACTTGACGATGTTTTCGCTTAACGGCGATTTTCCTGGAACAGATTATCGTCATTAAGTGAGGCACCACTGTATTTTTAACATCTAGACTAATTCTATTTTAAGGAAACAAAATACAGCAGAAGCACAAGCTATATACATACTGTTACTTTCATCTCCATATTTATAAATACATATCGGATTAGCAGGAGTTAAGACTGAAAAAGTAGCAGGGACAATATCTACAATTCGTTGATGGTACGAAAGCCTGGGAGGGAAAAAGAGAAAGATTTTACAGATGATGGAGAAATGAATACTATGGGCACAATCATATCAAGCATTTTATAAATTCAATGTCAAAATTCATGTGGGGACAGATTAGAAATGTAAATGCTGTGCAACTGAACTCTATACATCATGCTCAGCAACAGTTAAAAAATTCTTTAAGTAAACCAGATCCATATATGTTAGAATTCTACAGAAATGACGTGACACTCTGAAAGATGTAGCTTTCAGAGAATTTTATTTTTCAGAAACAGAATCCTATAGTTCCAAGATTTGCAACAATGTATTCAAAAGGTGTGGACATGAGTCCCACTGAATTGTCTGAAGTCAGCACTCTAGTGGTTAAAGAGGTGGACTTTCAGAGTTCAGTATGGCTTCTTGTCCTTTGCCATGACAAAGAGCAGAATAAACCAAATTATATTTGAGAAGGTGTAGCAAAGTAACTGAAAGAATGCACATTTCCATAATTTACATGGGCTACTGGATTTCAGGCTCTTTTCTATGGCTGCAGGATTTTATTAGCAGAGTATGCAAGATGTTGGTACTAATCTGACTTACTGTACTTCAAGCAAGTGCTTGAAATATATTCATTCATCTCAAATTCATGATGTCAGTTGGAAAGCATAATTCCCTTTCCAACGGCCTTAAAAGAAATTAACTCCTTGAGCCAAACTATAAATCTGTAAATGTTTTCAATAATTTTTCTTGCAATTGTAAGGCTCAGAAGTTATTCAGCAGTGACACACAGTAACAAAAAGTAAGAGTATATTGTCAATAATATAATTAAAGAACAAAAGAATGATAAAAACATTCTTTCTATGAAAACTTTCACTGATTTGAATACAGCTTATTCCAAAATCAATTACTTTTTTTTATTTTTCTGTTCAGTTTATTTTTATTGCTTAGACTTATAATCCTTCAAGAGAAAAAGAGAATTAAAACAAAGTTTTATTTTTTTACTCAAATGTATTTTTTATTCCATGAGGACAAACTCCCTGACACACATTTACAAAGATGTAAGAAAATACCACTGAAAACAAATTATTTTACATAGTACATTCCTCTATAATTTTAGCAAATGCTTTACGCTCAAACTGATTAGTTATCTCTTCTTGAATGCTACCCATTCTTTATAATTTTACACTTCACTCACCTCATGCATTTTTCCAATACTTCTCTTACAAATTTAGGTCTGGGTTTGTCAAGATCTTCAGAGAGACAATCTGACCTACCATTAAACAAGGAAAAACAACCCAACTGTTTTTATTCAGAAAAAAAGCATAAACTACTTTTCAAATACAAGAGGCTGATTAGGCACCCTGATTCTCTATTACAATGTGTGTGTTTTTGCTTCCTGCAGAGTGAGAGTAAATAATTTCAGAACCAGGTTTTATATATTGTGACATCAAAATCCCCAAATTCTGCTTGAAAAAAATTTATTTTTAATCACCGAATTGAGCGAGAGTATCATTCTGTAAGGAGACTAAAGATATATCAGCACTGGAAGAATGACATCAAAAAGAAGAGAATTACACTATTAAAAAGGAATAATCATAATTACATTGGTGCCCTGCTAGACGCTTACCCTGGTAGACAACGAAGTCGCTTCACAATGAGTATTTAGGATGGCTATTGCGATCACAAAATGGTGTTTAGGTGGGGGAAATCTGCTTGATGACGATCGGTTCCCTGCTTCAGGAAATGATTTTTTGCTTTACGACGATCAAAACAGCTGATTGTCGGGTTTCAAAATGGCCACCAGCTATTTTAAAATGGCTCCCCACTGTGTTTCTTCGCTTTATAGGCACTGGAAAATGGCCAACCTATGGAGGATCTTGGCTTTATGATGAGGTATTTCGCCCATTGGAACACACTGAGCGATTTTCAATGAATTTCAAAGGGCTTTTTACTTTCGCTTGATGACAATTTCGTTCTACAGCGATTTTGCTGGAATGGATTATCGTCGTCAAGCGGGGCACCACTGTACAATATTTTTTAGAATTAGCCACAAATGGAATTATATAAAAGAATGTAGAGAATTTACTGAGGAAGTACAAGAGAAATAGACTTACCAGTCTTCCCAGCTCCAACGGAACTGAAAATTACTTAGATGATGAGAAAACCAATCAATGAACCTTCAGAGGAAAAAAAAAAGAAACAGGTTTTATTAAACACAAAGTCTCAAGAGCATAGTAATTCAAACTGGTATTATTCTTACTATAGCTCAATTATCACAGATAACACCTAAGTCTATTGAAACAGATGAAAAGAAATACTGGTCGCAAAAGATAAAGGGAAAATAGAACTTGCAATAAGAAAATAATCAACATATCAGATAATTGGATATTTTAAGGAAGTATCCAGTACCATTCACTTATCTTATTCTAGATTCTAAACGATATAGATTTTGCTTTTGGTGAGTTACTTAATTCTATCTTTGAAGTTGGTATGAGAATACTAATAATATATTGCAAAAAGTAAGTTTAAGGCAACAGTTTAAAAAATAACCTGTAACTAAACTACACCTTACATTTTTATCAACTTCTGCTCCTCTTTGAAAACAAGCCATTTCTGGCTTTTGATGCTGTTCCTGCTCACTACTAGTTAAGCAAGAGATGCCTTCTGATATGCAATATGGCTTTAAAACGAGCAGAGTCTGCGAGACCAGCAGGTTTGTGAATTACAGAAGTTTCGTTTTACAGTATTTGAGGTGAAGAAGCCTGCTTCACAGCCCTTCAGAAATCCAAGTATGATTCCTTACCTGTCTATACAAGTAGTATTCATTGTATCCAAGCGCATGTAGAGCATTTCTGTTGCTTGTGCAAGCTGCGGATTACCATTTAAGGTTTAAAACAGACTAAATGTTCATACATTTAATTTCCCATTTAGACAAAGCAATATCCTGTCTGCACTGCTGCCGCATACAACTGAGTTTTTGACTTGGCTTTTTAATTTTTATCCAATGAAAAGACTAGTTAAAATGCAAAGGCTCTGCGACCACCATGTTCACTTCAGAGACTGCTTGGAATACTTGCATTTGTCATCAATTTCCATTTATACAGCTGAAAATGGTAAACAGTTTAATAATTATTTCCCTAAGAAATTACACTGGCTAATACAAGTCTCACAGAACAAAGGATACAACTTGAGGTAAAGAGCCGGGCTGCAGCTTACAAAGTTCAATTAGAAGCGTTGTATACATTACTTCAGTGTGTGGTGGAATTGGAAGCTGAAACAACTCAGCAAATATTACCTAGGGAAAAGATATGAAGGGGATTAAGGAATATGGTACAGATTTCCATGACAAATGAGTAATAAAACTTGTTAGTCTTAGAGATGCCTAAAAGTATTGTTTTTACAGCCCAGACTAACATGGCCACTTCTCTGGAAACTACTGATACTGTTACCATACACTGGGCAATTCCTTGAATGGTTACTATTGAAGTTTTACATAACACCCCAAACTGCACATCCTTCTTTGAAATTTATTTATTTATTTATTTATTTATTTATTTATTTATTTATTTATTTAGTTATTCAATTTAAATGCCGCCCACACTACCCAGAGGTCTCTGGGCGGCTTACAATAATCAAAATTCAACACAGTAAAAGATAAAATAATTAAAATACAATTAAAATACAATTAAAATTGCCATCAGACCCACAGCTAATATTATTTCAATTAAAAGCCTTCTGGAACAGGAAGGTTTTG